AATTGATGAATTCTTATTTATGTAATGGAACACATGTTTTAAAAATAAGGGTCAGTTTTGAAATAAAACAATTCCATCTTTGATTTCGTCTATTACTTATTAAGCTACGAATAATGAAGTACAAAAGATAAGTACAACAAAAGTTAATAAGTTTATTTGTAGGAAATTAAGTGATATCAAAAATAAATCACTTGCGACCGTATATCCTCTCGTATGACTTCAACAGCTGCGTAGTCTTTCTGCTTGAGGATCTGAGCTTCTACTGTCATATCATGTAGTGGTGAGAATTTTGTGACCTGTGTTTTTGAAACAAACAGTCGTGTGTTTAAAGGGTCTCTCACCGATCAAAATGTCCTCCCCATACTTTGCAAACAAGCGAGATTTGACTGTTCGTAGTTGAGGTCGTTTTCCTTCTATCTGGTCCATGAGTTCATCTAGAGAGAACTGACACTCCTCAGCGTTCTCTTCCAGAAATGAATAAATCTTTTCCATGGTCTTATCAACTGTGGGATGCTGACGATTTCCCTTGGACTTTCCTGTTGGTGGTGCCTGGTAGAGCTTTGTTTGGCAAAACCGATGATATCTGGTATCAAGGGCTACCAAATCTGTGGTCTCAGATATACGCTCTTTTATTTTAAGAGCCTATTCATCACCACGTTTCTCAGCTGCTTTCAAGATTGTTGCACTGAGAGACAACTTTTCCGCAGTAATGTCATTGTATACAGTCATTGAAATCAAATAACAAACATTTATGATTTTAGAACAAGACGATATCAAAAATTCTCCGCTATCAGATAATGTTTGAATTTCGGGAAAAAGTACATGCAAACATGTGCCCGAATTCAAGCAAATTCATTGACTTTTAGTCACTCGATAACATAAATAGAAACTTGCCATTTCACGGTATATTTCTTCAGTTGCTATATTATTTTTCCTAGTATTTTCCTAATGTAAACTTTGTAGTTTCTTGTGAACAATGAAGTTGAATGGAATGGGCAATCGAAAAATCTGAACAACATATTCGCGAAAAAATTGAACGAAATATCAGACTTGTGGCCATTCATTTTGTTGGTCGTAAATGATTCCATTCCTGTAATTATAAACCATGAATAATTCATTGTGAACGTGTGAAGTACGAGTATGTGTCACACAATTCCATTGTATTGGTGGGAATCTTACATGTAACGATTGTATACTGTCATTGTCTAGAACCAAACACTGCATCTGAAATGGTCAGCTCAGTGTTTTAATTAATAATCTAATCGTATTTTTGCAAAGTCAAACATTTGAAGTGAAACACCTGAATAAACATCCGTCTGCAAGCAGATATGCGATTTTTAAATCAGTTGTTGACTTCTGAATTATTCAAATTTGTATAACGGAAATCAAAATGACCTTGCTATCATCAAGAATAGGTTATAAAATGGAAAAGCAGTGAATTGAATAATCAATTGATAGTACCGATCCCACTGTATAGAAAAGCCGTTAACATAACGACAAAAATTATACGGGGTGGTTCATAGAATTGTGAGTAGTGAGATATAATTTGAAAATGAATCGGAATCAACTTCATGACTGCATCGCCTTCTTGATGATTTTATGAAGATTTCCTTGTTTTGAAAGAGTTATTTGAGGATTTTGCAACATTCACTTATGGATCCACCCTTTTTCAAATTGATAGGTCTTCCAGTGAGTCAATTAGAATGCGATACACTATATTTTTAATGTGTTTCGACGAAAAATCTAAAAGACTCAAATCGGGTGACCGATGAGGCCACTCAATTGCACTCCTATGTCTTTGCCGGCGACCTCGAAACCTGTCGTTTAATAATTGAAAACCTTTAATGAGTAATGTGGAAAAGCACCGCCTTGTTATTTCAGATTGATATTAATGCATGCAGATCTTCAAGTGCGTCAAGTGGAATGCGATACACTATATTTTTAATGTGTTTCGACGAAAAATCTGAAGGACTCAAGTCGGGTGACCGATGTGGCCACTCAATTGCACTCCTAGGCCTTTGCAGGCGACCTCGAAACCTGCCTTTTAATAATTGAGAACCTTTAATGAGTAATATGGAAAAGCACCGCCTTGTTTTTTCCAGATTGATATTAATGCATGCAGATCTTCAAGTGCGTCAAGTGGAATGCGAAACACTATATTTTTAATGTGTTTCGACGAAAAATCTAAAAGACTCAAGTCGGGTGACCGATGAGGCCACTCAATTGCACTCCTATGTCTCTGCCGGCGACCTGGAAACCTGTCGTTTGAATAATTAAGAACCTTTTCTGAGTAATGTGGAAAAGCACCGCCTTGTTTTTTCAGATTGATATTATTGCATGTAGATCTTCCAGTGAGTCAAGTTGAATGTGATACACTATATTTTTAATGTGTTTTGATAAAAAAATCTAAAGGACTTAGGTCAGGTGACCGAGGAGGCCACTCAGTTGCACCCCTTTGTCTTATCCGGCGATCTCGAAACCTGTCGTTTGAATAATTGAGAACCTTTTATGAGTAATGTGGAAAAGCACCGCCATGTTTTTTTCAGATTGATATTAATGCATGTAGATCTTCCAGTGAGTCGAATTGAATGTGATACACTATATTTTTAATGTGTTTTGATGAAAAATCTAAAGGACAGGTCGGGTGACCGAGGAGGCCACTCAGTTGCACCCCTTTGTCTTATCCGGCGATCTCGAAACCTGTCGTTTGAATAATTGAGAACCTTTTATGAGTAATGTGGAAAAGCACCTTAATTCATGTAGATCTTCCAGTGAGTCAAGTTGAATGTGATACACTATAATTTTAATGTGTTTTGATGAAAAATCTAAAGGACTTAGGTCAGGTGACCGAGGAGGCCACTCAGTTGCACCCCTTTGTCTTATCCGGCGATCTCGAAACCTGTCGTTTGAATAATTGGGAACCTTTTATGGGTAATGTGAAAAAGCACCGCTTTGTTTTTTCAGATTGATATTACTGCATACATGTCTTCCAGAGAGTCAAGTGGAATGCGATACCCTATATGTTTAATGTGTTTCGACGAAAAATCCAAAAGAATCAAGTCGGGTGACCGATGAGGCCACTCAATTGCACTCCTATATCTTTGCCGGCGACCTTGAAACCTGTCTTTTGAATAATTAAGAACCTTAAATGACTAATGTGGAACCTCTGCAAACAACGTATAGTTGGTATTTCAAAGCATCATATAAACGGGTGCAATGGATAGAGTATCGAAAGTCCTTTTCAAAAAAGAATCACTCGAACTTCATTCCAAACACCCCCGCTTTAACATTTGAAAGTTTTGCAATGGCTTTTGAGAAGAAAATTGTATCCTCTATTAACAAATTCGACTTGTTTTTTAATTTTTACAAAAAATTTTGTCCCCTGGCAGTTCTGGCTTGCAGTACGTTTTCTAGCTAAGGATAATCAACTCAGTCCTTGATTACTTTGTTGTCGATATTAACACCACTATCAAAAAGTATTTTGTTTTCATTTGTACTTTTTTTTTGTTTACTCAAAGCGACTCTTTGTTGCAGGGTTGACCCCACTAGCATGGAAAACAAAAAAGGGGCCTTTCAGAATCAAACGACCACCAACAATATCACACAGAACAACGAAGCCCCCGAGAATGATGCCATCCCCAAACTCACTCACCAGCACAATAACACCGCACCCCAGCATCTCCGCTACCTGCAGTACGGGTTGAAGATTCCCAACCACCAGCACCCTCAAATGAGGGAATTCCAACAAATGAACTCTCCCCTCCACTTACTTCCGCAGTACCAAAACCAACAGCTGCACTTTCGACAGCTGCAGTCATCCCCCCAATTCAACACACCTAATAATATCTATGCCGGTCAGAAATATGTTCACCAGCACCAAAAAGGCCCCAGCAACCTCCATCCGCAGCCCATTTACCAAACCACACAACCGCCTCCATCCGCAATGCACGCACATAATCCCATGGCTCAAAATACTCCCCAGATCTGGGTGCCGCATCAACCTCCTCCCATCCACTATCACCAACAGCAGCTGCAGAAGGCTGAAGCTCAAAAATTAAGTACGCCCAAAGCTCAACCGAAACCAAGAGAAGTCGTTGAAAGAAAGAAGTCGAGCGGCAGCGTCCAGCTGAGGTCTCCATCTGCAAAGAGGCCGCTGGAAGCTCCCGTTACGATGCAGGGGTGGCTGCACAAGCAGGGTTCGGAGGGGCTTATGTTGTGGAAGAAGAGGTGGTTCGTCTTGTCGGAGTACTGTTTGTTTTATTACAAGGGTGAGTTGTTGATTTGTTTTGTGTTTCTGTTTCTAATATTGTAATGAATCTGAAGCCGGCCCTGACCGATGTCCCAGTCAGCAAACGCATGACGCATCGCGAAATACCGCGAAAACTCCGGATGGGTCCCGAAATCCGCAGAGGGATCCGGAACGTTCGTTGACGATATAAAAACGTCGCTCTTCGTCCCAAAGAGTAGTCTGTACCAAGAAAGTGAATCGAGCGGTTAACAGACGGTGAAGATAAATTAAGCGTTAGTTACTGAGTGGTGTAAATAGGTAGTACTGTCATCTTCTGGCACTTCTCAAACTGACTTCCAATCAGCTGATACTGATGCTTTCATTTCAAACGGGTCATAGTTAATGTTTCCTTTTTTTGAATGTATGTATTATCATGAAAGGGAAGCGATAAAATGTGTATTTTATGGGTAGTTCTATTAGACGACTAGAGATGTTTTTGAAAGTTGCTGGGACACCATTCACACTGCAGACACCCAACAGTGCAATTTTTATGAAACTCCTTTTCATTTCTAAATTAGTCTTCCATTGACCTTTCACCGGGCAGTCCATGAATTAGAAATGATTTTTCAAAGGAGCTATTAACTCTCGAAAAGGAAACAAAGACCATATGTAACGTGAGATTTACATGGTGATAAATGAAAATAATGTTGGTAATTGTGAACGTGACAAATGGCGAATAATGTTTAGTGATTTTACTTTTGTTATTTCATTTATATGTTATTTATGTTTCGCACAAGGTTTTGTCAATAAGAATTTATTCTTCGGACAATAAAGTGTAATTTGAATTTGAATGTCAATGGTTACGTTATTATTGAGGTGTTTTGAAATGATGCTGTACAAAATTGCCATTCGAAATGTAAAGCAATATTCATGGTGTATAGGCTTTCACGGCTGGTGGTCATTTTATTAGCTGTAATGTGCAGGTTTTTATACCTAACGTTTGGTCTTATCAAAGGCAATGCGGACTGAATTGGAAGGATCCTCGAAAAACATGGAGTTAGGGCCATTTTCAAGCCCACAAGACCGATGGAGAATAGTCTCAGGCCAGGGATCGATTCACTACCCCAGGTGTACACTGAATACTGTGTAGTTGTGGTTCGTTCTACATCGGAACCACGAAACGCCTTAGCGTCGCCTCACCATCGCTCGGTCGTCGCCATTTTCATGCCCACAGCCTATAAGAAGTTGCAGAACACGCTCTCTCAGAGGGCAGCCTCTGTCAAAGAAGCACTACAAATCATGTCGCGGTAGTTAGTCAAATACGAGGACCTGGATGATTGGCAATTGTAGAAGTCCACAAGGAGTCCTCAGTCTGGTGGAAATATGTTGAGACACCTTCATAGTATGGAAATACTATGAAGGTATATATAATTTTTTGCGATACCTCATCAGCGTAAGTCCATACGAGACAGTGTCACAATTTCGAATACAACCACCACAAATCTACCAAGAGAGGAATCGTCAACACAACAAGGAACTAGGTTATATTTGGAGAGATACTCATCAGAATTGTTACTCCAAAAAGCTGGTGGAGCCAACAGACTTCGGCTAGAAGAAGACAAACAATGCATCTCTGTGTAGAATGGAAATACTATCAATAACTAGCAAAGTTATTGATCATTGCTATTGTTATTGATCATTGATCTCTGCTTCATTGTAATCGGTAAAATCCTGACTTTCACTGACTTAGGCTCACCTGAAAACTATAGACATCTATCCATTATCAGCGCAGTTGGGAAATTATTGATATTATGGTCAAAAAATTATGGACAAAGTTATTTGGAAATAAAAAATTACTTGTCCTGTGTCATTGTTTTTCGAGTTTGAAAGCCGTGGGTTTTTGGAATTTCTTCCTGACGTTTTGCTGGCACGAGTGGCTTGCTTCTTCAGAGCTTTAGCAGTGTGATGCACTGTTTGGAACCTTTGGTATAGTAATGAATATTACTGGAGTTTTATATCAACACCAAACCGTTATTTTTAACACCTCGACACGTGTTTCGATCACCAAGTGATCATCTTCAAGAGGAATATTAAACTTTCCTCTTGACGAATCAGCAGGAGTTTGGTTCAAGAAGATTCGTTCCACCTCACAAACTGTCACAAAGTTGGTAGACACAGTCATCGGCTTTGAGAATTTTCTGCAAACAGCTGCAACTCTATGCGACCTCAGTAAAGTGACTGTATCTCTCACAAAGTTCTCTTGGTGACAGGAGTGACCTTTGAATTTTTTTAATCTTTCATTTTAATTCGACAGCAATCTGTTGATTACAATGAGGAGACATCAGATTCTCACATCGCTAGACACAGAGTACCACAAAGGTGTGTACTGAGCCCTATGTTGTTTGAGATTTATTTTAATACAACGTGCAGCTTGTCAAATGTAGAAAGAGCTCCCTGAATTTCGATATGGTCCCACCCGCTAAATGTACGTTTATTAGAAGACGGTGAGAGCGAAAGAAATGGAGAGAGAGATAAGTTTCAAGTCTCTTCCTAAATTAGACAATCTGTAATATATATATAGAAGCCCACCAGCAAGGTAACGGCTTTGTACATGAAAATATGAAAAGTCCTCGGGTGCGTATACTTTTACACTTTCGCATCCTTTTGAAGCAAATTTAATGTAAAAGAAGTACTACAAAATACCACTTCCCATTTGAAAAAAATTTAGGAAGGGTTGAAAACAATTGTATTGTACTATAAATTTCACAAATATAATGCCGAGGGTTCTGTCTAGTCAACAATATAATTTTGAGACCTTTTTGGTTGTTGTCATCTGTTTCAAAACGGTTTTAATTTCAGTGGCGACTGTAAATTTTAGAAATTTGGTACCTGCAGGACAGTTCGTATTATTCAGTTTAATGGGTCGTTAAAAACATCTTAGACTTTACAGCTCATCAGTGCACATGATTTTTTTCTTTTGTTTTGAAGTTTCAATGTCTGTGGCTGGTTCGAAAATATAACCCAACCAAACATTTTGATGTTTTCTTCAATATTACCTCCAGAAATTTTAAATTGTGTTGTGATGATTAAGAGACGTCGTTGGAGTGTATCAATATTTTCTTCTCTTGGAAAATGAAATGCGTGGGCTTTTGAATGATTATGATTCATTTCTTTACAGTGCTCTGCGTGCTTTCGATATCTGTTCTAATGAATCAACTTATAGTAATAATATCTCTTGCTATCTAACATGAAAGATCGTCAACGATACAAACTATATCTGTTTAAAAAAATCTGTTTTAAAATCTGTTTTTCCGTTAACCAGCTGTCGCACCCCTACGAACGACAACCCTCAGAAGTCGAAACTTGTGCGAGCTAAGGATTAACGAGGTCTTACCTTTTAACGTGTGATTCCTAACACGGGATATAATCAGCTTCTTCAGGGAATTGGACTTATTTGGTGGAGTTTGGAATAGACCCACTCACTTTGAACCTAACCTATTAAGTACGTTTTCTGAAATTTTCATATTATAGTTAACGACTGGTTTGATTTATATGACTATAGGATAACTTCGAATAATATAAATTCAAATTGTCTAGTTGAAGATAGATATAAAATCTTTCACTCGCAATGTTTCTCAAATCTACCAATGACGGTATCTGTATCTTATGATGCACTGTTTGGAACCTTTGGTGTAGTAATGAATATTACTGGAGTTTTTTCCAACACCAAATCGTTATTTTTAACACCTCGACACGTGTTTCGATCACCAAGTGATTATCTTCAAAGAGGAAGATTGAAACTAGAAACTGATGCGAGCTAACCCTATTCATGCTATAAAGGTAACCCATACAGGTAAACCATCCAGGCGTACCAACCATACAATTTTGCCTTATCTATTATTTTACAATATATGTTTATATAAAACAATTTTCAGCTATATAAAAATTAATTTCACAATATTGCCTATCCAAATTTATTTTTGCAATGTGTCCTTATGTAGTAATCAGTAAACCCAACAACATTATTTTATTTTATTTTAACAAGCTATATAGTATGCTCTTTGGTATAGGTCCGTCATCGTTATTCATAATATCTACAATACCCCTCGAGAAACCGTTAGTGGCTGCTATTTCCTGTATTGTACGTCTTTCTTTCGTGAACCTATCATGAGTTAGAGGGAAAGTCAAAAGACGATGCACTAAAAAATTCAACCCAGCACGTTTGTGCTGTCCACAGTGATGTGAACTATCAGGAATATACCTGTACGTGCTTGTTTCTTTTCTAAATATATCGTATTCTAACCCTCCATATTAGCTCCTCATTACCAAAACGTCAAGAAATGGTAGTTGTCCCTTATTTTCCAACTCATACGTGAATTTTATTGATGGACATCTATTATTTAAAATGGGAACAAAGTCGTCAATATTCGATTTTTTGGTATCGAATATCGCGAAAATATCATCCACATACCTTAGCAAAATCCTAGGAAAATACTTCGACTTTTCTTTGGTTTCCATTTCGAATCTGCTCATGAACAGGTCTGCCAGGTAGGGGGACAAGGGGTTTCCCATGGCCGTTCCTTCCTGTTGTTCATAAAAACAACCTTCTATCTGGAACCGATTTTGTTTCATACACAAATTAGTAAGAGAAACGAATTCATCGATTTCGTTATTATTGAAAATATTTTTCTCTAGTAATTCCCTGAGGTATTGCAAGGTCTGTGGAATTGGAACGCTAGGAACCCTTTATTTTTTTTTGTGGTTACAACGAAATGAGAAAAAACTGTTTTGAAAAGTTACAAATACCTAACTTAGTGCTATCTACGGGTGAATTAACGTAACAGATGCTGAAATTGGCCTCCACCCTCTACTTGGGAGGCTCCTAGGCGATGGTAAAACCTGTCCACGGAATTCCGAATGGCCTCAGCCGGTATGTTATGTGATTCCACTCTAATTCTGCTTTTTAAATCTTCAATATTAGCCGGCCTATTCTGATAAACCTTGTCTTTCATATATCCCCAATAAAAATAATCTAATGGCGTAAAGTCTGGGGATCTTGGCGGCCATTCAATTGTACCACGTCATCCAATCCAGCGTCCTGCAAATATGTCATCGAGATATTATTAATACCAAAATGTGGGGGAGCGCCGTCCTGTTGGAACCAAAGTGTTTCAGTGGGGATATCTGGATCTGCTTCATTGGGAAACATAACAGTTCAAAGCGTAAAAAGTCTAAGTAGCGTGCAGCTGTAAGGTTTCCCTCAAAAAAGTGTGGCTCTAATATTCTGTTGTTGATGATGCCTGCCCATGCATTTACTTTCTGAGGACGCTGCGTACGAGCTTCGCATATCCAGTGTGGATTTTCCTGACTGCAGAATCGATAGTTGTGCGTGTTAACTACTCCATGTAAATAAAAAGGAGCTTCGTCCGAAAAGAGTATGTTGAGTGGAAACCCATTATTCTCGTCACATCGCCTCATTATTTCCTCACAAAATTGCAAACGCCTGTCATAGTCATCTTCCAAGAGCTCTGGGACAAGACATACCTTATATGGGTGGTATTTTTCTGTTTTCAAAAACCTCCCAATCGTACGTCTAGACGCAGGATTGTTTTGGGCTAATGAAACCGTTGACAAATGTGGATCTTCCTGCAGAGATACGATAATATCCAATTTTTGATATTCGTCTAAAACATGTGGCCGGCCACATGTTTTAGACGAACATGCCAGGAATCATGCCGCGAAGTCGGCTTCTTTCGCTAGTCTAAGATTTTTTGTGAATTAATATTCGGTTTGAACCTCGGGGAACCACCTAGCCGGTCATGAAATCACACTCAACGAAGAGGCTAATTTCCTGACATTTAGGTTTTATATATTTTTTGTTCCAGGTTTGGAAGAGGAAAAGCTGCTGGGTTCCATTCTACTCCCTTCATATAAGGTATCGATATGCAGGCCAGAAGAGAAAGTCAGTAAAAAGTTCGCGTTCAAATGTGAACACGCTAACATGAGGACTTACGTGTTAGCGGCAGATTCACAGGAACTGATGATGCAGTGGGTTCGAGTCCTTAATCTGGCCTGTATGCTCCAGTCGAACGTGTGAGTTTGTCCTTGTGGATTTTTTTTAATATTTTTGTCCGAACTAACTACAAAATACAGTTTACTGTGAGATTTTGATTTTGAAAGGTTTATGAAACACTGACACGTGTTTTGCTTTACAATAACTTCCTCAAACAGGAATCATACATTAATCCTAATTCACAACCATCAATCGAAAACAATTTATGGTTATTACATAGTAATTACTCTTGTAAGAACAAAGTTAGTTGAGTTATTCAAATCATTTTGATCGTTCATCAGGTATTGAGAATATTCTGGAAATGCTTGAGGAAGATATTCAATATTTAGCGAGCTTGAAGAAGATATTGCACATCGAAACACGTGTCAATGTTTTGTAAACCTCTTTGGTGAAGATGTTACAGTCAACTGTAAGTTGTTTTGTAACTGTAAGTGGATTTTCGTCAAGTATCGGTCACTTCCATTCAATTTTTGAACTTAGTTTGGTGTCAGAAAGAGTAGCATTTTTTGAAAAGTTATAAAACTCTATTATAATGGTAAAAGTAGCCATAAATGTACAAAAATAGTGGATTCTTGTTCAACAGATATGGTAATTTTGAAGAGATGACTTTGATTTGACATACACAGGTCGGTTTCTGAAACTTTCACTTTTTGACACACGTCAATGATTTTTTGATGAAATTGGCGGGAAATTTTGTCGCGCAAGTTCAGCGTGATGAGCGACACCAGACTTTTCTGGTCTCTGGATAATGATGGGTGTTTGTGATTTATTTCAAAAGAATGGAAGAAAAAATTCTTTAGAGGTTCTTTCAAGCCGCCATTCGTTAATCTCAAGTGTCGAACGAACGAACAGAGTTCAACTCAATACATCGAAATATATTTTTTTAAATCTTTCATATGGAGAAATGCTTATGGTTATGGAATACGTTTCTCCAGTCCTGTAGTGATTTTGCATTTCCATGAAAAGTGGTATTCTTAACCTAAACTTCTTCTTCCTTATTATGTCATCTACAATGAGCAGATTCGAAATGGAAACCAAAGAAAAGTCGAAGTATTTTCCTAGGATTTGGCTAAGGTATGTGTATGATATCTTCGCGATATTCGATACCAAAAAATCGAATATTGACGACTTTGTTTCCATTTTAATTAATAGATGTCCATCAATAAAATTCACATATGAGTTAGAAAATAAGGGACAACTACCATTTCTTGACGTTTTGCACGTACAGGTATATTCCTGACGGTTCCCAACACTGTGGACAGCACAAACGTGCTGGGTTGAATTTTTTAGTGCATCGTCTTTTGACTTTCCCTCTAACACATGATAGGTTCACGAAAGAAAGACGTACAATACAGAAAATAGCAGCCAATAACGGTTTCTCGAGGGGTATTGTAGATGACATAATAAGGAAGAAGATGTTTAGGTTAAGAATGAACGAAACCTCGACTTTCAGAAAGGACAAAAACCAAGAGAAATACATCTCAGTTCCATACCACCAATATACGAGGAACTTTGGAAATATTTTCAAGGAACTAGGTATGTAGGTGGTTTTTAAAACAAGTCATACACTACAGAGCCTTTTGGGAAGTCCAAAAGACAAAGTCGAGAATTCGGAAAAGTCTGGAATTTACGAAATTGAATGTAAGGACTGCGATGCAAAATATTATGGACAGACAAAAAGATCTATTGAAGTAAGATATAAGGAACACATAGCACACTTAAAATATGGAAGACCTGAAAAATCAGCAGTCGCCCATCATATTTTGCAACAAAACCATTCTATAGACTTCAGTTCATTAAGATTAGTTAGACAAGGTAACAACAACAGGCAACTAGATGCCTATGAGAGTGTAGAAATAAGTAAACACAATAATATTATGAATAACGATGACGGACCTATACCAAAGAGCATACTATATAGCTTGTTGAAATAAAATAAAGTTGTTGGGTTTACTGATTACTACATAAGGACACATTGCAAAAATAAATTTGGATAGGCAATACTGTGAAATTACTTTTTATATGGCTGAAAATTGTTTTATATAAACATATATTGCAAAATAATAGATAAGGCAACATTGTAAAATTAATTCAGCTTGGTATACCTGTATGATTGGTACGCCTGGATGGTTTACCTGTATAGGTTACCTTTATAGCATGAATAGGGTTAGCTCGCAGTTTCTAGTTTTAATCTTCCTCTTTGAAGATGATCACTCGGTGATCGAAACACGTGCCGAGGTGTTGAAAATAACGATTTGGTGTTGGGAAAAAAACTCCAGTAATATTCATTACTACACCAAAGATTCCAAACAGTGCATCATAAGTATTGAATAGAATGTCAAACCAAAGTCATCATTTCTGCGTATCCAAAGACGTCCCTTGTGGAAGTTTCAAATGAAATTCTCCATATCTCTCAATTATTTTCCTAATTTACATTTGACAATACGTCTCCTCCAAACTCAATAATTCGGTAACCTTTTACAGCGAAACCGAGGCAACTCCTGTTGGTTCAGAGAGCACACCATGTCATAACAAATCCACCGATAGTTCGGAATCAAACAGTGCTCAACAATATTACAAACAGAATATAAAAACCCCTCAGTTGCAAGCGCATTCACCTAGTAACACCCTGATCTCTACACCTCAAGACCAAAGCCAGTACAACCAACCGCTCTATGCAAACGCGCCCCCAAAGCCAAGAAGACTGAACGACGGATTCTCCTCTCCTAGCCCCGACGTGCTAGACAGGTACAACTCCCAGTACAAGGAGCCTAGGAACATCAACAAATCACCGGTCAGTATATACGGCACCCCTGTAAATATATACAAGGACGACCCGCGGGAATATATGTTCACTCCTACCCGGGAAATGCATCCTGTACATGCTGTTGAGCGAAGAACTCCCGATACATATGGAAGATCCAAGCTGCATCCCGTCAAGTATCGTCACCCGACGGACTATGAAGACGTCTACGTCGAGCAAGGCATGTACAAGCGACCTCTCAGCCCTATCGCCTATACGCACGTAGTGAAGAAAGTCAACCCTCCTCCCCCAGTGAGTCCGGCCTACAGAGCGTACACCCCGGTCAATATGCTCGGCCCTACCGAAATCGTACACTATCCCCCGCCTCAGATGAGGAAACTGCCAAGCATCAACATTGCCAGACCACACAGTGCCGATTTTCTGGAATACGAAATCAACCATCGACAACCCAGTCCGGCTGTCTTAACCAGGCAGCAACCGAGGCCTAAGTCTAGTCTAGACATCAATCGGAACACCAACGAAAACGACAATTACTTTTACACGGAAGAGTTGTACGCAGAGAAGATGAGAAAGTCTGCGCAGTATCTCCAGAAGGTGCCTAACAGGGCCAAGGTAGAAGTGGTTCCTCCGAAAAACGTGACCGCGAGGGTCTCGGAAAATGAAAATTCTTTGCCGCTGATCAGGCCTAATGCGCAACCGGCAGAGTTCAGCAATTTGCGCATTAGCGACATTCCAGAGCCTCAGCCAATGAGGAGTAGGAGCGTATTAAGTGAGGGGTCTCTGTCCAAGGAAATCGATATGGATTTCTGTTCTCAGAGGGATTCGGTTAGTCCAGAATACGCAGCGAGAGAAGTTTACGGTCACAATGTCAGGAGCAGGGACTACGATCAGTTTACTAGGTCGGCTAGTGCCAGGCTAGCTCAGAACACCCCTCAGATGGACAGATCCGCGACCGAGAAGCGAAGTATGACCAGGGAAGGCGAAAGAAAGGTAAATAAGTTTTTTAGTATCTGGCTTTTCCATTAATACAGTGTTGTTCAGTAAGTTTTCAATGAATGGGAGGGAGGACAGTTGAGTCCAACAGTGAATTCGTAGTCCACCCTGGCACCACTGATGAAACCTTGGCAGATCGAAACAGCGCTGCCTGGTGTTGGATCACGAACGTTTTGTATTTGGGCTTTGGTTTCATCGAGTAACAAATAAAAGAGGTAAATTCGGGTGAAAGTTTATAATACATACGAGGGTTAACTGAAAAGTTTCCGGCCTAACAAAGATACAAGACATTTTTTCCGAATTTCTAAAAATAGCGCTCTGTCCTCCGAGCGCTATTTTCAGATGAGGAAACAAAAAAAGTCTTTTGGTGCTAGATCTGGTGAATAAGGCGGATGGTTGATCAGTTCAAACCGTAATTCGCGGATTTTCACCGCTGAGGTGTAAGGCGGTGTGTAGTCTTGGTGAAACATGATTTTCTTTTTCTGGAAAGGTAGCCGTTTTTCTGCAAGTTCTGCCTACAGCTTGTAGAGTAATGATGCGTAGTAAGCTCCTGTAATGGTTTCTCCTTTTTGAATATAATCGATTAAAATAACTTTCCCAAAAAACAGTCGCCATCACTTTCCCAGCCGAAAAAACAGTTTCTGCTTTTATTGGAGCTGGCTCCCCCTTTGCAGTATCAGCTGTCTCTACGGGACCTTGAGATACCGGGCGCCCTCTCGTCGTAGCATCGCCTTGTCACGGTAATGCGGGGCTCTGCCGTAATTGACCCTTCTCGTGGGACTTTCATGGACAGAGTGAACCTAAACATTCTTTCTGACGCTGAGTCTACAGAGGAGATGGATGTCGAGCTTACGACTCCAACTGACCTTCCTGTAAATTTAGATCAGGAGCGAGAGCTTCTGATCCAATAACTGAACCTGAATGGTGGTGCCCTGAATTGGAACACCTCAGGAAGACAGCGAGAACGACCTTTAACAAGGCAAAATGTACTCGAAGAGGACTGGGGTATATATCAAGCCAACCTCAGAGAGTTCAATAAAGTCTGCAGACGAAAGCAAAGAGAATTCTAGAGCCTATTGTGAGGCAGTCGAAGACTTTCCACTAGCTTCTAGGCTACAGAAGGCACTCTCAAATGACCACCATAAGAGTATCGGCATCCTGACGAGGGAAAATGGCGACAAAGCCGTCAACCTCCAGGAGAGTGCTGAGATTCTTATGGAAACTCACTTCCCAGGTTCCGTCTTTCCTGGAACGACGAACTGGATGGATTTACCAACAACACCCTCACAATACGACTGGCAATCTGCTAGTGCACTAATTGATGAGGACAAAATAAGATGGGCTATATCGGGCTTTTCCCCCTTCAAGTCACCAGGACCAGATGGTAGAAGACCAGCCCTACTTCAGTGGGGACTGGACACTCTTATGTCGCACCTGGTTGGACTATTCAGAGCCTCTCTAGCTCTGAGGTATATTCCCAGTAAGTGGAGAGAAGAAAGAGTAGTCTTTATACCCAAACCAGGTAGGATGGACTACACCTTACCAAAAGCATTCCGACCAATTAGTCTCACATCGTTCTTGTTAAAAACTATGGAGAGGCTATGTGAGCGGTACATAAGAGATGAAGTAGTTGTTCACAACCCACTTCATCCAAATCAGCATGCATATACTCCGGGGAGGTCTACTGATTCGGCCCTTCACCATGTGGTTGGCAGAATCGAGAGATCATTGGACAACAAAGAATCCACCCTGGGTATATTCATAGATATTGAGGGAGCGTTTGATAAAACAACCTTTCCAACATTTACCCAGCAACTACACTCCAGGAATGTATCCCTGGTAGTAGGAGAATGGATACTCCAGATGCTCTCTAGCAGAGCAATAAGTATTAATGTAGAAGACATCACAGTTATAGGATTGGTTATGAGGGGATGTCCACAGGGAGGGGTCTTATCACCCCTTCTCTGGAACATAGTCCTGGATACCCTAATTAATCACCTTAACAAAAATGGATTCTACACAATTGCATACGCAGATGGCATAGTTATCTTGCAGTCTGGCAAATTTGTGAACACACTGTGCGATAGAGCGCAGGATGGGCTGAAATTGATAGAAACATGGTGTAAGGAACACTCACTGTCGATCAATCCCAAGAAGACTGAGATGGTCCTTTTCATCAGGAAAAGAAGTTTATCGGGCTCAAAACCTCCCAAAATCTTCAAAAGCAAACTAAACTTCTCTGAAGAGATGGAATACCTAGGTACTATTCACGACAGGAAGATAACATGGAACTCTTACCTACAGAGTGGAGCAAAAAGAGCATATGGGGTCTGACCCCTCTGGACCTGTACGTTAAGGAGGTTACGTTAATCGCCATGGTACGATTGCGCACGGTGTAAACCTCGAAGTAGAAATGGGTCAATTGAGGCTGGGCCTATGGCGGGGAGCGCTTACTGCGCAACCTCTGCTGCAGGCAACCAGTAAAGCAATTGAACCCAAGTTTGTGTTTAATAAACCCTACAAAATACAAATAAAACAGAACACAGAGTCAGATGCTACAAATGCAGTACGCATATATACAGAAGGCTCAAAAACCAAAGAAGGCCCAGGATGTGAAGTGTACTCCAGATCACTGAGCCTAAGGATTAAGTGGGAAATGGGACAAAATAGCAGCGTGGTCCTAACAGAACTGGCTGGTATCTCAATCGCCACAAAAGAAATAACTAGGAAAGGAATTTCTGGCAAAAACATAACAATCTGCACTGACAGCAACAAGCCCTATTAGCCTTGAACAGACAACGTGTAACCTCAGGGCTAATACTAGAGGGTCACCAAGATTTAGCCAAAGCCTCGGTAGATAATAACATTATCCTGAGGTGGGTTAAAGGACACGACAGGAGTGAAGGCAATCGCATTGCCGACTCTTCAGCCAAAGAAGCAGCTGGACTGAGAATTTTAGGACCGAGTGGCACCTACGGCCTGATGACTTCGACAATTGCGAAACTAGCCAAATGTTAAACCCATGCTCAATCCCTAAAGAGATGGGATGGAATCAAAGGATGCAATCTTGCCAGGATCACCTTGGGCGACCCTGGGAAGCTGGCGCTGAAGAAATATCTGGCGATGACCAGGGCAAATCTACGCTTGACAGTAGGATTTTTGACTGGCCACTATCAACTAAGGAAACACCTCCATAATATAGGGCTAGTGGACACACCTCTATGCAGGATGTGTGAACAGGAAGGTGAGACTGTCAGGCATGTCCAGTGCGAGTGCCCGGAGTTACCGTCAATAAGAGAGTGTGTGTTCGGCGAGTCTTGGCCTACACTTGCCGATATGAAGGAGATGTCTTCAAGTGACCTGTCCACCTTCCTGGATAGGACAGGATGGACGATGATCTAGGAGGACAACTCCTCGGGAGCATGTACAATGGGTCACATGAGGCCTAACTGCTTGGGGCTTACACTCACCCTCCCTACATTACAGATACAGATTGCATAGGCGTATATTCTTTCAAAAACAAAGGTTTGAGTGGCCATTAAGAGAGTCATAGTTACGACCGCACCGGGGGGCCTGGGGAGCCGGTTAGGCCCCCCAGACGCACCTTGGCGTTGGATGCGATCGGGTGTGGAGAGTAGGATTTTCGGGAAATCCTTGCGGGTACCGCCCCTCACCCCACACCAACAGGATTTCGCAGGGCTTCCTCCCTCTACACCGAACCCGGAGTTGCCTTCTTACATCTACTTAGTGTGGCTAACCAAGAGACAGGACCATCGGCAGCGTTCGACCGAACGTTCGTACAAGTTAACTAAGCTCTTCTTTCGCCAGAGAGTGCTCGCGTTGCACACCTGCCCCCGCCAACCATGTCAAATCAGTTGGGAATATGGTCCCGGAAGTGGCCGGTCGGGGTCCTAAGCTCGGATACAAGTAGCTCCGTCCATCCGGGGTCCGACACCTCAAACGTCTGCCTTGGTGCCCTCCAAGAGTAGACTCGGATACTAGAGCCCGGAAGGACCGCGAGCCCCGACACCTCGAACGCTCGGATCCGTACAGAAGCAGGCGAGGATCACGGAACAGCATAAGCTGTCCAGTGCCTCGGTATGGGGCTGCAATGCACCCATGAATGGATTATCGCAACCCTGTATCTCTTTACCCGCTAGTGGAGCCGCTGCCCCTAAGAGGCCAACGCCAGTTGGAGATGAGGATCGCTAGTCTCCAGCCGCGAGCGGGCACTCACCTCCCCCCTAGAACTCATGTTAGGAAAGTTCCCTCTCCAACGTTTGATGAGTAACCGTCGAGGACTCTTTCGAGCATCCTCTACCACACATCATATGTCGAAGACGTCGCGCCCATTACCCGTATAGGTGCGGGATAGGGCGATTCATCAACAACTTTTGGGTGTACGCCGTGTGGTCTGCACCGCATACCCTTACGTTACCCCGAGGGGCACTCATGTTAGGAAAGTTACCTTTCCAGCGTTGGATGAGTAACCGCCGAGGGCTCTTGCGAGACACCTCTCCCACACATCTAGCTTGAAACCGGCCAACGCCTGTTACCCGCAGGCGCGGGATTGGGTGGTTGACCGATAACTTTATTGGGTGAGTGCCGTGTGGTCTGCACCGGGGGACTGTCAAACACCCATAAGAGAGAGAGAGACAGTGATCTCCCGCCACTCACCACTTAAATACAGTTTCTTACGAAATACCGGCTTGTTCATTCGCCAACACAATGTGGAAAAGTCCAGATATGAAATATCAGTAATGAGTACTCTTGGCAGTATTTCCACATATATATATTCTTTCAGAGAGAAGAATCCATGAAGCGATTACTTGAATGGAAACAAAGAATGCTGCAGTCCCCTCTGAATAGGAAAATACAGGGAAACAGGGTATATCTTGGTAAATATGACTACCCGGTCAACCAAGAAAATGCCCATAACATGGAAATGCATCCAAAACGTGGCAAGGTCTACGAGGACCAAAGACAGCCTAGGCCGCAATATAATAGTTACTCGTCTGATGATGAAGGTAAGTTTGTTCGATATTTTTTCATTTTTCTGATATTTTGTTTACCGAGAAAAGATAATGTTTTCTCTGAAATCCCATTACATTATCGTAGTTATATTTTTGGTGAAGGGTCTTGGCGTAGTCTACATTGGTCCTTCCTGCCTGACACTACTTGGGCCTCGTACTTTCTGTAACTAACATTTCGCTGATATCTTGGTACTCACTTTCATCACCTCTACTAACAGATTAATTTCTTTTTTTGGATAAGGGACTTTGAACATGTAAAAATTTGTAAATTTTTTTATGGTTGGTTCAGAAAATGAGGAGAGAAGCAAGGAAATTGTGCAATCACAGGCAGGACGGACCTTGGACACATACTCTGAGTCACCTACACCTGCACAAACCACTTCTACCACTGTACTTAGTACCCTGGCCGAACCTGAAAAGCCTATAACTCACTCTAATATATTGCATGATGCACAATACACCAATGCCTTTGAAAAACACTCTGAAGATGATTCCGTCAAAGAAAGTAAAGACGATGCTTTTGCACAACCACTCAAGCAGTTCAGTAAAGATGCGTCTAATCTTGCACACGTCTCCAATCTGCGGTCTGAGTTCTCCGAAAAGTTTGAGCCAAGCCCCATCGTAACAGAAACGAAGAGCAACGGAGCTTTAGTTAAATCAATTTTTGCGGAATTAGAAAAAAAATCCTCAACGGAAGATGATTTGGAACCAGAAATGAATAGAATCATGTTGGAGGAGAATTACATGCCAATGTCTCCAAAAAAGAACGTGTTGAGTCCTAGGAGTAGTACAAACACCTTGTTCAACGAATCAGAAAATGAGGAGAACCATTACGTGGAGATGACTCAAATGGCGGGGAAGTCCTTGTTAGAGCCGAATAATGCAGGGAACGAGCAAAGTGAGCACCAGCCATACGAGATGATTTGTTTCAACGAAGGCCAACTGGAACCTGTATATATGGAGCTGAAGACACCGGATCAGAATAAAACCAAAGGTAGCCATGAGCTTCCTGATATTCTGATGACACCTAAGAGAAATACAACCAGCACCAATAAATCGGATAGCTCGGATGCAGATGATGAAGCTTCGAAAGATTTAGATTCTTTGGATACCCCCAGCCGTACTAGATTCAGCCTTTCTGATACATTCAGGCCTGCGTCGTACTATCTAGGTGCTACTCAGGTTGTACCAGAATGCCAAGACAGTTCTGACAGTGAATTGGTGTCACCTCCCCCTATTCCCTCTTCCCCACCGCCAATGGACGACCTGGATAATACAGAAGATCACAGCTATGTGAGAGACCAATCCAGAAAAGACGAGACTTACAGATTCAACCTGTTGACTAGATCTGTTAACAGAAATTCCGACCAGTTCTTCAACAGTAATAACAAATATTCGAAAAAAACCTCTGGTATCAAATATGAAAACATGAAAGGGAGTTCTGTGTCGCTGGACACACAGGACCCTACCCTTCCTGGGATTGACAAAGATTGTGGGACCGAGAAACATCGCAGGCTATCTATAAATAGTGATTCTGACGTAGAACTTCGCGATATGAGAACTGTCGAGTATGAATCAAGAATGAAGCGACGACCCGTCTCTGAAGGCTACTGCAATGAGTTGGAGTGTCTAGAAGGAGCCGTTGTTGAAGATTCCGGTCAGACTGTGGAGCTAGAAAGGTACCTCAGTGATTTGCAAGTCAGCAATCCAAGTGTTGCGAGTAACGATGACATTCGATCCAACAGTGTTTCTTTGCACATGTACTTTCACGAATACGAGAACCTGATGATGTCTGGCTACTCAGGTAATAACGAAACTTGCTTGGTTGAGGACAACAGCAAAGGGGCGTTTTCTGTTTCCGAGTTTCCTCAGATAACCAGGCCAGACAGTAGCACTTCAACTTCAGCGGAGATAAGTAGCCTTCTGCAGAATTCCAATCGCTCCACACCGGTTGCCGACATAGGACAAGAAATGATTCCTGGATCAGTGTACAATTCCCCTAATGTTCTGTGTCCTACATCGGCTCCATACTATTACTCGGATTTATCTATAAACATACCCAACAACGAAAGCTCTTCGTCTATACTGACCTTGAACAACCAAAGAGGAACAACGAACGAGAGTAAAAGAGACATTACTCATATAATAAACCCTATCAAGCAGGACCTGAGGGGATTTTCGAACCAGCTTGTGGGAGGCATCGAAGAAAACACGTTTAAACTTGCCGCTGAGGCTAGATCAGTATCTGTGGATTTTTTGAATCTAACTGACAAGTCTGGGAATATCGACAAGAAAAATATTTACGAGTCTGACACCTTGAAGAGGCAGACTGCAGATTTTGTTGACCCTAAGGCGAGAAAGTTCTATCAGTTGCGAAAAAGTGATAAATTTGCTTCGTGCGATATTATTTCTGGTGAACCTGGAGTTCGTAGGTCTCACTCTCTGGAGGGGCTACTAGAAAACGTTCTTAGCGACAGTATCGATACGAATATCTCGATAGAGAATGAACCCGTGACTGAAAACCAGATTGACGTGCCGGCTACTGAAGGTAGTTACATGTGGGAGGAAGACTCAATATGGAGGGAAAGGTTGAGATCTGCCAGTCAGAGACACACCAAGTCTATGGAAGACCTGGATACCATCGGCGACAAAAAGAAGAAACAAAAGAAAACCACGCGGGCTATAACTCGAGGTGTCACCTACGTGAATGACAATTTCATCAAACTTGATAAGCAACAGAAAGAACTGGAGAATCAGAAAACAGTGAAGGGCACAGATAACGAGATTAAGAAAGAAAATAGTTTCATAATAGACAGGGAGAAGTTGAGGCAATGGGACTTGCTTTCCAGTGCGCCTTCTGACGATCAGTTGTCAACTGCTACGGCTGCTCAGGCGCCAGAAGGTAACAGCATAGTGGTAGAATTAGGTGAAGGGAATTGTGATCCGACTGATATTACCGACACACAAGATACAGGTATAAGTTTGATTTTTTCGTTTGACAATAAGTTTTTGTAACATAATGTATATATTTTACATTTCTAAATTGTTTTCATACAATTCGTCATTCACGTTGGTTGGATGAATCACTATCAAATTTGAGAACCATTTTCACACCACTGGCTTTTTCCGTAACTTGCACAATATTCGCTGAATCATTTGGAGTTTTTATACACACCTGGGATACGTTAAATAATGCCATGATCAGTGTTCTTCTGAAGGGAGTTTGAGGTTAAGTTAGGTACCTGAGAATCTATTAAATGAATATTGACTGTTTAAAAGCAAGAAGTGTCTAATGGTGTGCTCTTGAAAATTGCTCACCTCTCCTATCTGCGTTTCCGAATGATACATGAAAAATAGACAAATAGACCTCACTTTTAGCTTCACTTCCCCCATAATACCAAATAGACTACACCACTACACCTATTACTTATTTCGACAGAAATGAATTAATTTGTCAACAATATATTAAAAAGCGGGCAAACATTATTTGCAGGTAGTGGTTCCACTACTTAATTACCGAAAAATCAAGTAGGATAATCATCATTTAACAAACAAAGTCCACATCTGACCAAAAAACTTCAGGTAAATAAACAGCTAACTCCTGTCTTTAGATTCAGTATCAATTTGCTTCTCCTGAAGATGCTAACCTTGTTAGCGAAACGCGCGTCGAGTGCAAAAATATCAGTTTGGTGTTAGGGTAACTGATCTCTAGAAAAAGTTTTCAACTTCTACACCAAAGGTTCCAGTCTCATCGTTTAAACCGATTTTTGTGAAAATCTTAGTGTTTTTGGGTACTTTCATCAATATGGCTTTCTGGAGACCTTTTAAAACAAATGATAACATTACGTGTGAGAAATCTGTGTCAATCGACAGGGATCCGGAATTTGAAGATAAGGACTTACATGTTCAAGTTCAGCGAGTAATTTTAAATATTCATGAATGCTTGAAGAAGGAAAACTGTCACACTTCACAGAATGCTATTGTGAATAGAATACGCGAGTTAACGAAACTATTTTGTTGGACAGTTCTTCGAGTCATTAAAATAGGGGATGTCATTGACCATGCAATGAAACGAAAACAAAGGAATAAAAAATTCGTAATTCGGTGTGATTATTTGTGTTTTCATTGTATTTTAGAGTTTTCGACTCGGAAATCAACTACCTTAAATTTCGAAGTTTTTCATAATCACCCATGGTGGGAAAATTCAGTTGAGATAACTTTTTCATGGGGTGATCAATTGCTATGATTGTAAGAATAAGTAACTGAAAAACTACCACGGAAAAATAATATGCCGACGCCTATGTCGAGGCGGGAATTCCGTCTCTGTGCTGTTCCAATTAGTATTGGAAATACTATTTATCAACGAATTTTTGGAAAAAACAAGAATCCAATATATTGTTTCGTCATTTCATTTGGATTCCAGCACATCGGCTATGGAGGTACATCTTCACCGACAGCAGGAGGTGGCACATTTTAATGAGGATCTAGAGGTGATTTCGAGTTGGGGTGAAACCAACCAGGTTCAATTCAATGCAACAAAAACTCAGGCATCGGTTTTCTCCAAAGAGCTAAATGGCTCCGAACCGGATACAATAATGTCCGGTATCAGTGGTTGGGGCAATGAGTTTCGTGTTTTCGAACATACTCCTGTGGTTTCCTTCACTGAGTGCGTATTCGGCCACAGCCTAGTCTGCAGTATCTTTCGTGCTCCTTCAGCCTTGTTTCCATGGATCTTTTGGTCGTTCCGATGTATACCTTCCCACAAGTGCACGATATGCGATATACCCCTGCTGTTGATAGTGGGTCTCTTTTGTCCTTAGCCGACCTGGAGGCTTTATCGTATCTTCATGGTGGGTCAGGAAGAAATTGCAAAAATCGACGGCCTTTGAACCCAAAAAATGGTGACATTGATTACATAAATTCATTCAGTGTTACTCGTCCTCAGTTTGACCCTGAATTTTTGGACTCCAGGACCTTTTTCAAGGCGCTCTTTCTTCTTCGATGTTCGAAACTGTCGGAAGTTGCTTTGTGTCTCCAATTAAACGATCTGAATGTTAAATTCCTTCTCCACGGAACTCATAAACTTATATCCCATAACTAGAAAGCGCATTCGGTGTTCTGTATTCTGTGCTTGAAATTGAACAAATCTTGAGCAACTATGCCAAAGGAGTCCAATTCAATGTGTTACAGATGTACGACGCTGTAAAAAAAATGCGCCAGGAAGAGAGGTGTATATAAAGTAGCCCCACAACATTTTCAATTTTGTATATGAACAATGCGGTGTTTTCAGATATCAAATCGAGATAGTAATGGTGAATAGGTTGTTCTTATCTCCCAAATCATTTCTACTTTCCTGGAAATGTACAGAAAGAAAATGTGATTTTTGTGGTAGAGATAAATGTCTTTCATTAGCTTTCTCTGGTTAACGAAGTTTTGAATAACACCTGTCATTGGGTCTGACCCCTCTGGGCCTATATGTTGAGGAGGTTGCGTTAATGGCCATGTTACGATTGCGCACGGCTGGTGTAAACCTCGAAGTAGGAATGGGTCAATTGAATGGGCCTATGGCGGGGAGCGTTCACTGCGCAACCTCTGCTGCAGGCAACCAGTGATGCAATTGAACCCAGGTTTGTGTTCAATAAACCCTACAAAATACAAATTAAGCAGAACACAGAGTCAACTGCTACAAATGCAATACGGATTTATACAGACGGCTCAAAAACCAAAGAAGGCTCAGGATGTAGAGTGTACTCCAGATCACTAAGTCTAAGGATCAAGTGGGGAATGGGAAAAAATACCAGCGTGGTCCAAACAGAATTGGCTGGTATCTCAATCGCCACAACCGACAAACCCTATTAGCCTTGAACAGACAACGTGTAACCTCAGGGCTAGTACTAAGAGTATCACCAAGATTTAGCCAAAGCCTCGGTAGATAATGACATCCTGAGGTGGGTTAAAGTGCACGACAGGAGTAAAGGTAATCGCATTGCCGACTCTTTAGCCAAGGAAGCGGCTGGACTAAGAATTTTAGGACCCAGTGGCACCTGTGGCCTAATGACTTCTACAATTGCGGAACTAGCCAAATGTAACACCCACGCTCAATCCCTAAAGAGATGGGATGGAATCAAAAAATGCAATCTTGCCAGGATCACCTTGGGCGTCCCTGGGAAGATGGCGCCGATAAACTATCTGGCGATGACGAGGAAAAAATCTACGCTTAACATTATGATTTCTGACTGGCCACTGTCAACTTAGGAAACACCTCCATAATAAGGGGCTAGTAGACACACATCAATGCAGGATGTGTGAACAGTAACCTGGCCACCTTCCTGGAAAGGACAGGATGGACGATGACCTAGGAGGACAACTCTTCGGGAGGATGTACAATGGGTCACATGTGGCCCATGTACATACTATACTATAATGCAGGGTTTCAGGAAGAGCATGTGTTATTCCTTCTCCATAATTGACACGCTTTCTATTAATAAGACATAAGGTTACGAGTTCTGTGGCGTCGCCTCACTGTGGTATTATTATATTTTCCCTGAATCAGCTATATAGAAATTATGGTTCATGCAAATTCTCTGATCGATTTTTTCGATCAACAACAACAACAAACTAAACTTGAGAAACAACTGAAACTATGAACATACGTTCGAGACGAGTGTACCAACATAAAACAATCGCTAATCGAAGTTACGTAGCCCGCGAAATTTGAACATCCACCTCAGTTTTCAAATTGTGAATGAGGAAAATCTCCAAAAATGATAGGTCAAAGTTCAAGGAAAGGGACTGCCTCAAACTCTCAAATTATTTTTATTTCTACAAATCTAAGACTTTTCAAATATTCTTTCGATTGAGATGATGGCGTCGTGACACAGAACATTTCAATTCACTTTGAATGATCAGCTGTACCTACACTAAGACCAGTCTCCATAAAACATATTACTTGTTAGATTTATGAGAAGTTATGTCTTGAAACAATGTGACCCACATATTTAATCGTTAATTTTATAGCGTCAGGCTCAATTTCCATAAATACGAGAGATATATCTCAACTGAATATCAGAGATACATTTCCGAGAGCGATTTCAGCGAAGAAAATATGGACGCCCAACACCCCTATGGAGTCACGTTCTGTGACAAATTTATGTAGAAATTCTGACAAGGACCAGTGTGGGTAAGTTTAAATATTATTATAATGTACTAGCCGGGTCATTTCAATGTTTAGTAGTAGATTTTGAGTCAGAATAAAGTAGATTGATACAAAAAAAGTATAAAATATATTCATAGATACAGTTTGTCAAATGTAGGAAGAGCTTTCTGAATCCCGTTATTGTCCCGCCCACTAGATGTGTTTTTGTTTCTATGACAGCAAGAGAGAGAGAGAAAGAGGGAGAGAATTGTTAAGTCTCTTCCTAGATGTGACAAGCTGTACATACTACATACATGGTAATTTCCATTATTTAGTCATTCAATAAATTTTATAGGAAGTAAAATCAGAAGATTTTACTTCTCAAACAGTAGAACAATAGCTCAAGAGCGAGAACAGTTCTACTACAACATCAGTAGACCCAGTAACAAACACGGTGTTGTTTTGTCATTTCTTCTTCATCTGCACTGGATTGATTCGCAATATTCCATAGTCTAATTCAATTACGGCTTCGTTGTGGACGGTTCGATTTCGAATGTGAATATTTAAATATAACAATTATTGATGCGCGCAAACACACAAATGTCATATCCTAAAAAAACAAACGTCAATTTGTTGAATCTTCATTTTTTTCTTTCTTTATTCCTTTCTTCCATTTTGGTTCTGTATCTGTAGGGGGGGGTGAGTGTAAGCCCACAGCAATTAGGCCACATGTGACCCATTGTACATCCTCCCGAGGAGTTGTCCTCCTAGGTCATCGTCCATCCTCTCCTTTCCAGGAAGGTGGACAGGTCGCTGGGAGACATCTCTTTTATATCGGCAGGTGTAGGCCAAGACTCGCCGAACACACACTCTCTTATTGACGATAACTCCGGGCACTCGCACAGGATATGCCTGACAGTCTCATTTTCCTGTTCACACATCCTGCATAGAGGTGTGTCCAGCAGCCCCATAATATGGAGGTGTTTCCTAAGTTGAAAGTGGCCAGTCAGAAATCCTACTGTTAAGCGTAGATTTTTCCTGATCATCGCCAGATATTTCTTCGGCGCCAGTTTCCCAGGATCGCCCAGGGTGATCCTGATGGGATTCTATTCCATCTCTTTAGGGATTGAGCATGGGTGTAACATTTGGCTAGTTCTGTAGTTGTCGAAGTTATTAGGCCGTAAGTGCCACTGGGTTCTAATATTCTTAGTCCAGCCGCTTCCTTGGCTTGACTAGCCTCTAGTACTATCCCTGAGGTAACACATTGTTTGTTCAGGGCTGATAGGGCTTGTCTGCTGTCAGTGCAGTCTTTTGTGGCGATTGAGATAATAGCCAGTTCTGTTTGGACCACGCTGGTATTTTTACCATTCCCCAATTAATCCTTAGGCTTAGTGATCTGGAGTGCACTTCACATCCTGGGCCTTCTTTGGTTTTTGAGCCATCTGTATATATGTGTATTGTATTTGTAGCGTCACACTCTGTGTTCTGTTTTATTTGAATGTTGTAGGGTTTATTAAACACAAACCTGGGTTCAATTGTATCCCTGGTTGCCTGCAGCAGAGGTTGCGCATTAAGCGCTTCTTGCCATAGGCTCAGCCTCAATTGACCCATTCCTACTTCGAGGTTTACACCAGCCGTGCGCAATCGTAACATGGCCATTAACGCAACCTCCTTAACGTACAGGTCCAGAGGGGTCAGACCCGTAATTAATTCCATTGCCTCGGTTGGTGTTGTTCTCATGGCTCCTGTGATGTTTAAACAAGCCAGTCGCTGTATTTGATATAGTTTTTGGATGATAGTTGCTTGCAGAACTTTCGGTCCCCATGCAACGGCTCTGTACGTTAACATAGGTCTTATTATTGCAGTGTAGATCCAGGTGACCACACGCACGGGGTGAAAGACCCCATGCGCGTCCCACTGTCCCCCGGCATTGCTCATAAGCCACATATGCTCTTTTTGCTTTACTCTGTAGGTGAGAATTCCATGTTAGCTTCCTGTCGCGGATCGTAACAAGGTATTTCACCTCTTCAGAGAAGTTTAGTTTGCTTTTGAAGATTTCGGGAGGTTTTAAGCCCGATAAACTTCTTTTCCTGGTAAAAAGGACCATCTCAGTCTTCTTGGGATTGATCGACAGTGAGTGTTCCCTACACCATGTTTCTATTAATTTCAGCCCATCCTGCTCTATCGCAGAGTGTATTCACTGTCTGCATGATAACTACTTCATCTGCATATGCAATTGTTTAGAATCCATTATTGTTGAGGTGATTAATCATGGTATCCACAACTATGTTCCAGAAAGGGGGTGATAAGACTCCTCTGTGGATATTCCCTCCCCTCATCCCCTAAATTTTGGTTGGTAGTTGCTTAAGAATCGGGCGCATTCGACCAGTCTCCTTCTTTTACGATATAGCAGGACCTTCGTCGGAGGGGCGCTGCTGTCTTGCTCTAGACGATGCATATTACTGGAGTTTTTTCCCAACACCCAATCGTTATTTTTAACACCTCGACACGTGTTTCGATCACCAAGTGATCACCAGTAATATTCATTACTACACCAAAGGTTCCAAACAGTGCATCATAAGTACTAGACGATGCAACTTGTTTTTCAATCGATTGTCTTATATTCCCATATATCACATTCACATTTTTTTGTTGTCGCCTTGTACTCGAAAGATCATTTAATAATCGGGGTGGATTTCACGCTGCCTTTTTTACTTGATTCTCCGAAACACCCGGCCTGGGTACCGGCGTGAATATGCACTTTTAAGTATGTCCTTGAGCTCTCTTAGCGATTCGGTTTCAATCTCTCCTCAATCGTCTCAAAACTCATCAGCAACTTCTCTAATAGTCATTCGACGATTCTCCATAACAATTTTCTTCACTTTCATCGGTTGGTGATGTGCTAGGGCGTCCAGGACGAGCGTCGTTATTCACATTTTCTCTACCTTTTCTGAACAGTTTGTACCACTTGTAAACGTTTTTCTGAGTCAGAGTACAATCACCGTATGCCACGGTCAACATTTCGAAACGAGAGTACCAACATTTGACCATTCGCCGTATTTTTTGAACAGACCCCGTATTCTTGGATACTCATTCTGAGTTTTATCCAGTATTTCTGTATCTTCGAATGGGATTGTGTGAGTTTCTTTGAGAGCATGTTTGGCTAGAGCCGATTTGTCGGTGCGCCCGGGGCGACAAAAGCTCTTGTGTTCAAAATTGACTTTAATTTTTCGGAAACTAGTGCATCATTATAATGTAGTCGCTTTCTCAGCACTCTAGTCCGAAAACGGTTGACTTTACAGAAAAATGCAGGAGACATTTTTGTAGATAATCGTATGAGGAATAATCTTTATAATGACCTTTATTGACCTCCGAGTCGTAGGTCGCGAGATAGTCGCGAAAAACTGATTTTCGTGACTTTTGACCCTTATAATTTTTTTAGCCGGCACGATATCAATGTCAATTTTACACATCATCATCAAAACGCCATAATGAAAGTGTATACCAAAATTCAGCTCAGTAGGAATTTTTCCGCAGATTGAGGTTTAAGAAACCTAAAATAACTGGATTAGTAGTGGTTTGGTCAATTCTTTAGTAGGTAAAATAAATGAATCAGTAAGAATACAGAAAACGAAATGAAAATCCACTGAATCATATCAGTAAGTCAAATATTCCTATACACATAATAATTTGGAAATGTGTTATTCGTGACAAAATTTTAATTACTCGACCAAGTTGAACGAAAAAGAAACGACTAGAAAAATCATTAAAGATGAACCAATTGAATCACTAACTAGTTTTCTCAGTGTAGCATGAAAAAACCGTGAAAACCGCTCGTTCAAATTGCCATTCGATATAAATAAGACGGGACAATAGTGTCATAAGTAATAAAACTGAAACATTGTACAAATAACTGGGACTCTCTTTTTTGCATGAATGCTCATCTGTGCATGAAATAAACCGTAACTGTTTCTATTTTTTCAGGCCGCAAAATTGCCAACTGTATTATACAAATAAAAATTCTAGTCACCCAGATATTACACCTGAAACAAGAAAGGTAAGTCATGTGTTTTTTACTCGGAATATCGGAACAATTGCGATAGATGATGAATTAAAAAGGCAAATGAACGAAATCATTTTATTAATTGGACTGAAAGCCAAAGACAGTTTCTTTAGGGGATAATCTGATCTGTTCGATTTCCTTCAGTGTGAGAATAAAAAATATCATTCAAAACTCAGCAAAAGTAATGTTATATTTCGAAAATGAGATTTTTTTTAAATAACTTGGTTTCAGTGATTTTCAAAATTTGACATCTTTTACAGAATATGCAAGAGAATTGAAAAATATATTACGATATAGAGAGTTATGCATAATATGGAATTCATCAACAGCCCTTGTGATTTACATCACATTCAACATACGGAGTGATATTGATCTCTCCCAACTACCTACACAGTAGGGTCTGGTGAACGTCTGTCGGAAAACAACTACTTCCCCGGCTAATACCACGCTGGATATTGAATTATATCCGACAGACATTTATGCGAGATTCCTCACAGAGGCTAGTCTCGCAGATGTGTCTTGTTCATCCAGCAGCAGGACCATGATGAAATTATGCAGACCGCGGTTTCGAAGTATTACCCCTCGTCAGTACAGGAAAAATTCTACCCAGACAGCAAAGTGTCTGGGACTCGATTAATTTCAACACAACAGAAACCAAAAGTGAAAACTATCGAGGAGAGATACATAAATACGTACAAAAGGTTGCCTTTTATGTTTCGGGATTTGACAAACCCTAGTGTTACAATCTGGCAACTGACAGCTCTATTATAAAGTTGGACATTTTTGAGCTTATACGTACTCAGAACGTTTCGACATACGCGCGCTATTTGTGTTGTTTACAGTAACTATAAAGATTCATCTCGGCCCAAAAATGGAGTTGAATCGTGAACATTTTCGTGCGATTATTTTTTACAATTTTCGACGTGGATTAACTCAGCAACAGTGCATGGATGAACTTAATTCAATTTTTGGCGTTGAAGCTCCATCAAGGACCAGTGTTTATCGATGGTAAGGTGAATTCAATCGTGGTCGTAGTTCACTCCGAAACGAATTTCGTGAAAGTCGTCCAAAATCAGTTGTTGTTCCGAAAACCATTGATCTGTGCGCGAACTGATATTGCAAGATCGTCATGTGACTTATCGTGAGATTGAGACAACCTTAGGCATTAGTAGGACCAGCATACATTCGATATTGCATAAACATTTGGCTGTCAAAAAAAATTTGTTCGCGTTGGATCCCACACAATTTGTCAATCGTTTAAAAAATGGCTCGTGTCGATTGTTCGAAGGAAATGCTCAAAAAATACGATCGCGGTGCTTCGAAACACGTCTATGACATCCTGACAGATGATGAATCGTGGATTTACGCGTATGAGCCCGAAAGTAAACAGCAGTCGACTGTATGGGTGTTTCAAGAGGAGCCAAATCCAACAAAAGTTGTTCGCGTACGAAACACTTTCAAGCAAATGGTCGCCGGTTTTTTCGGAAAAACTGGAAATGTCGCAACCGTACCACTAGAACAACGCAGAACAGTCAGCTCTAAGTGGTACACAACCATTTGTTTGCCAGTTGTTTTCCAAGAAATCAGGAAAACCAACCGCAGAAGACGGATCACTCTTCACCACGACAATGCGAGCTCTCACACATCGGCTCAAATAACTTGCATTTTTGAGCACCCAAAACATCGATTTGATGAGTCATCCGTCGTATAGTCCTGACTTGGCACCGAATGACTTCTTTTTATTCCCGCACGTGAAAAACAAACTGAGAGGTCAACGGTTTTCGACACCTGAAAAAGCAGTTGCTGCATTCAGAATGCATGTTTTGGAGATACCTGGCAAAAGTGCTTCGACGAATAACCTAACAAACCGTAGCGGTTCTCAAAGCGAACATAACTTATATCATCGGTCAAATTCAGCCTGATTTATACTCCAGAGCCATGGAAAATTGGACGTTTCGGATGCGCTGTGGCGATGTTATATTCCACACATCAATAGGCATCAGTCAACAGGTCATCAATAGGTCTTTCAAACTAATAAAGAAATTTTGATGGTATCTCTTTATTTTATTTCAATTTAAAGTTAGGAAGCGCCTTATGAAGGACCCTATAGAAGTTCCCAGAACCTCGAAAATACTGCTTCTCTCCATGGAAGTGTCTTTTCGTGTGTTCCAGAAGAAATTCCATGCGTGTCTACCACGAATGTTCGATAAATCCAAATCATCAGACGTGGTGTTTAGATCAGTTTGGATTTTCCACCTTTTTCATTGACTATATTGTGTAGCAATCCTTTGAATGATATCTGATTCAATTCCATAAGGAATGTTTGGATAACAAACTGAATATACTTTAAGTTGGTGTCATCAAGTGCTGGGAAGAGATTTTCTTCGAAATAATTCATCCCCGGAGAATCTGTCTACGAAACTTTTTCAGATGCATTACGTTGACCAAGTTACTTTAATTCTCTAGATTTTGTATTAAGTAGGAAGTGTGCCTTCCAATAGATTTCTTTCATTTGCCTGAGTTGTGCTTGATGTTGAAACATTTATTATATTTGAGAATTTTGTGTTAGCTCATTTCTAAAGCGGAGTAACATTATGTAAGATATTCCACCTCTCCTCCAGCCTAGAGAAGTTTGGTCGGTCATTTCAGAGAAACAACGATGGTGTAACTTTCTTTGATAACAATCCCACAAATTGTTTGAAAAATATTCCACCATTTATTCAATTCGCATCAAAATGAGTATTTCATCAATGTCTCCATTGAAAGCTTTAGCAAAATCTTCTGATAGATATTGATAGCTCATGCTCATCTAGTAAGTGAAATAACCTCTCTTATTTATTGAGACTTGATTTGATTTTTTGTTAACCTTTTCAACAGAAACCTTCCCGATCTTTGATATAAAACAATGATTGGGAAACACCCTTGAAATCTATACTTATAAATGTCAAAGTCGCTTATACTCAATACTCACCCATTCATCTCTGTTTCTCCGTATTGGTGCTTCTTAGGTCTTAGATGCGCACTAAGAAAGGATTTTCAAATATTCCAACTCGGCCCCCCCTCCGTGGGGGTAAAAGAGGATCGTTTACATATGTATCTCTCAAATATTATTTTAATCTGTGTTCAATTTGAGGGTTATTTTAAAAACAAACAAACAGAAAAAATATTCTATCAATATTTTTCTTCCTTATTAGTATCTTTAATCTCTTTGTAATGTTGATGAATGGTTTCCGGCTACAGTTGTAATACATTCATAACAAGGCGTAAAATTGAAAGTGATAATTTGCCGTGCGAAAACCAATCCATTCATGACTAATGAATACGAAATAATGTACGAATGCACCAAAATGATAAGTGGGTCAACATATTGAACTATGAAGCGATTTTGACCCGAAATTAATTTTTATAGGCAATTTTAATGGTTTATTTACTCTAGCATCGGCAGTATTTTGGACATAGTAAAAATATGTTTTATCACGATCTGCGAGCAATATGCAAGAGCAGCACTTTTTCAATATTTTTCATTCACATCTGTATTATTTTTCTCATGGTATAGTAGTTCCAGTTCCTAATTGTCAACTTCGAATGAATATTATTCTTTGATAGATATTTTTTGTTTCTCGCTGCTATTCAGGGATTTCAACATTTCATAATCTACATTTATGGTGGAAAACATAACATAACAAATACAAGCTCTCATCAACATGCTCTAATAAGAAAAATAGTTTTGATTAATTCAATCCCACCAATGTAGTACAATACAGAATCCGTATGATATAAAAGCTTGTGGCGACATTTACCAACTTTTTAATAAAGTAGCCATTTTTTTCTTAGAATTACTGATCAAGATACATTAGTCTAATCAACAAGTTCAAAAACATGAAAAATAGAGATGAAGGTCCTAAAAATATGAGCGATAGCTCATTCGATTCGGAATCACCTCTAGAAGAATGTTTTTGAAGGATTTTGGTGCAGGTAAAAAATTACAATTGTTATTAACAAAACAAGATTAAAAAAAATGGTATTTAGTTTTTCGTTAGTAACTCAAAAAATAATAATATTTAAGCAATCTTGAAAAAAGCTCGTTAAAGAGGAGGAAATTTCTTATAAAAAAGTTCCAACTCCCGAAACTCCATCTCCATTATTTATAATTTTAATTTGACGTTGAAAATAGGGTTCCGCGCGGCTGTTGCGGCATGCGCGCGCTACCGCTAAAGAGAGTTTATCAAAAGAAATAATTTTTCATAACATAAAATGTCATTTT